TCTATAATTATGATTTACGAAATAGTCATGACTTATCGAGATTACGATTTACGAACGAATATGAATTACTGGGTTTTGCATATATGGATTTTGAATATATGGATTCCTATGGATTTTTGATATGATTTACATTACGAATTTACGAGTATGAATTATCATGGAATTATAAGATGAAGTTTTGAGCTTTTGAACTCCAGAGATTTGATATGAGATTTTGAGATATGTTTTTGGTATTCATCTAGTGGGTTATCATACAGCACATCCACACAACACGGGTATAGATGTCTATGGCCATATGACACAGTTGATGAGGAGGAGTGAGATATGACATATGATATACCCCCAGCTTCACTGCCGAAAGCAATGTCGGACAGCTTCACTAGCCACGGCTAGTGTCAGTGTGTGATGTTATATATTTCTTCTCTGGCATAATCCGGAGTCGTACACCTTCACCTTCAGGTGATGGGGCCTACCATGTTTCTTCATTGGCGTAATCCAGTGTCATACAACTTCACCTTCGGGTGATGGACAGGTACTGCCTTTGGGCAACTATGATACCCCTAGTTGCGTACATCACGGATTCGAGTTACAAATGTTTTACAAATGTATTTCGTGCATGCTAAGATTTTCAGAAAACTTACTATATGTAGTATTATATATGTTTTCAAAACAGGAGGTTATTATGTTCAGAAATAAAATGTTTTCCTATTATTAGCATTATTATTATTATAAACTTTGGTCCACTCACCTCTTCTGTTTTGCGCCCCTTTAGGAGTTAGGATTAAGGCACGTGATCCCGGCGTTAAGACTCTACGGTATAGGTATCAGTCCCTTGTTCGTATCTTTTCCCCAGTAATCCTTCCATATTATTCTTAGTAGTTGTATACTCTGAACACAATTCTGTTTTGGTTTAATTTGTTCTATTTACGTATTCTTAATGGTATACGTGTTTAAAATGGCTTCGTCAGCCTCGGGTGTCGGCCAACACGTGCATACCCTGATATTTAGAGATATCGGGGTTAGGGCGTGTCAAAGAAGATCTCTTGAGGTCCCAAACCCGACTCACTCATAGGTCGCGGAAAGAAGATCTCTTGAGGTCCCAAACCCGACTTGCTCATAGGTCGCGAAATTCTTTGCCTCTCCACATACCAACCCCATCCATAAACAATTGTAGAGATACCTGTAAATGTTGAGCACTTTTAAGCCCACATAATGGTGTTGGTCGGTAAAGAAGCAATAGAAAGCCCAAGGGAGATTAAGAAGCCCAAGGTCCATGGGCATAGGAGAAGATACTCCCAAGCGCTAAAGTCGACCGCCTATAAGTTTAGCTCAACTAGGATATGTAAAGAGCTTTTCGACTGCCAGGGGCATATGGGCAGTTTAACAACTATATGGCACAAGTCTCTACGAACATGCTTACCCAAAAGTCAATCAGGTCAAATCACGGATCACAGTTAGTAGCAAAGACCTTGGATGGGACGTAAAGGTGGTCGGAATGGCGCTTGAAGAGACAGTGTTGGATAACCAAGGCCGAGTAGGGTGCTCGGCTTGCATCATTCTGAAAGGACGCACCATCTTGACTGAACATGTATCACTTCACCACCTAATGTCTATTTATTAGTGTTAAATGACATAACATGATGAGGTAACATACTAAAAAATGTGCATGTTAATGGCTTGATATGTTTAACGCACTACAAATTTTAAAAGAAGAAAAGCGGCCTTTCAATTTGCAAAAATCACAAACTTCAGTTAAAATTGATTAAAAACATCAAAAATACACTTCAATCACAAGTCATTTGGTGAACAAGGATTTTAGCACTATGGTATACCCACATCTAGACAATGCTTTTACAATATCATGGACAGTGACAAGGCCTTTAGTCCTTTCATTCGTAACATCTTTTTAGGAACAGCTAAAACATACGACATGCCGACAGCTAAAACAAACGACATGCCGACTACAGTGCTGTTGCAGTTCCACGGATAGTGACATCGGCCTCTACTATGCAAGCATCCTTCACCAAAAACCCATTACCTGCCTGACTGAAGGTGTCCAGTTTAAGGAAGGTAGGCCAACCGAAATCCCGAGTTGAGGTACTGAACCAGTTGTTTGCTACACATAATACACCCTCATGTTATGAAGGATGCATACAATTAAACACTGAAATAGGACAATCTTTACCTTTTAAGCACTCATGTTTGGCATGCATTTGATCTACAATGCGCATGGAAAACTCTGCAAATACTTTGGAACCAGAAAGTTTTTCCGGATCATCCAATTCCAAGAAAAGAGAAATATGAGTACCCTTTCCTTTCTTATGTCCCTTAGGATAGAGCACTATCTTCCTGCAACATTGGGAAGAATATGATGGCTTTTTATTGCATATCTCGCATTGGAAGCAAAATTTCAACAAGCTTTACGGTGATCACATCTAGTGCGAAACTTATGTAGTTAAAATTGCATATATAGTTTGAAACTCAAAAATCATTCCTTTTACTATGTTGGGGAAAAATTGACTTCAGCTAATAAAGGTGATTATCGTGCAGGTAAAAAAGGATGAGTGTTAAGAGATTATACAGTGGATAACAAATTTAACATTCTCTTATCAAGGGTATTAATATAAAGGGCCTAGCAGAGATACCAATTCCGTTCTCTGGCAATGAATGGTTCTGATTTGTAGGGGTCAGCACCTAACTTTGAAAAGTTCTCAACCTTCCAAACATGCTTGCACATAACAGCAACCTTGACCATCGATATTGACTCTCCTTTGCGAGCTCTTCTTTCTTTACAAACAAAGACCTCAGCTCCAATCACACAGGAATCATCAATGACATATCCGTTGGAAGCATCAGTAAACGATTTAAGAGTGATAAGCCTATCAAATCCCGAATAACGCATTACCCCATGGAAACACTTTTCCTTTTTATTGGCATCTATGGAATATGCAAGGTTCAAAATAATGATCAGAAAATGAGCAGTGACCATTGCAACTTGCAAACAAGAAAAATTTCAGGTCTATGAATATGTTCACTTAACGAGACGTAATTTTTGAAGTAGGTATAATGTACCTTGAAGAACCAGGAACATTCCCTTATTCTGATCAAGTAAAAAGAACCTGAAATTAACATATACTTCGAATCCAGTCTGAAGTGAATCAGCTCCAACCATTTCCAAGTAAACAGAGATGTGGCCTTCCACATTTTTCTTCTTGTTTCCATTCGGGTAGAGCACTAGTTTCCTGAGAGCAAACATACAGAATGCCTTTTTTACCAGCTTACACAGCACATGATATACGAAACACATTATTGCGTTACAAAAAAATGAAAATGTCATAGAACTAATGTCAGACAGCGAGTGTGGAACATAAGTTTGCAGAAGATGATATTAAACTCAAACTTCAGCAGAAGATATAATGAGGGATTTACCATTTGTATCCTCCAGCTTCAAATTCTCCCGACTCATATTTGTCCACTGAAATTTTGGTTAGCCATGAAAATGACCCGATTTTCAGAGAGTAATGAGTTGGAGCTGAATCTGAATATGATATCGAAAACCCTGAAACAGAAAAGTGTTGATGCAAGCATATATCAGGCATCTATCGCATACAACAATATCCGGAAATCTGAAAACCGGCAATATAAAGCAGATAAAGTATCTAACCATTTTGTTGAAACGGATAACAAGCCATGGCAATAAAACTGAAATTGATTGACAAACTGGTAAGGCTAAACAGTTATCTTTTGCTTCAAGAGGAGCTTACCTATATATATAATGTCATTAAAGAAGGAAATACAAGCATCCAATGAAGAGATTTTTCAGTATGCCCCGAATACAGGATAGTACGCCACATGTCATTATACACTTCAAAAAAATACTTCTCTTCAATTGTATAATGCTATATGGTGTACCACCTTATGTTCCGGCACATTGAAATGCAATGAGCATGCTGCATATTGGACGAGATATGTCTTTTCATCTCTCTATATTGTACTCAATAGCTTCATGCATTGTGGATACCTTGGATTTGGTCTCTCAATACTGTACACAATAGCTTCATCCATTGTATAAAGGAAGACACGTACACTTTAATCTTCAAAAAGGTCTTTCTTCAAATTCCCACACAAAGCACGCAAAGCTTTCTTCCCAAGAGGCACTATTCATGCCCATTAAAATGAAATTTTGAAACTTTGAATTAGCAACATAACTTGAACCGGAGGCGCTGAACCAATTATAATCTAGAAGAATACGAAAATGTTCTCAGTTACTCCTGTTGTGATTATAGATTTAGGCACTGGTTTGGAGGTCCATTGAGAAATATTGGAAGCCAACTTCAACTTTTTCCTTTTTGCTGTGACTTTTTCTTTTTGTTTCGCTGTCAACTTTTTCTTTTTGCTTTTCTCCTTTTTTTCTTTCGCTCATAGACATAGTCATTCCAACGTACAAGGTACGAGAACTTAAGTTCTGATACAATTAAAGTTGTTATGCTCCGATCCCGAAACATAACTAAAAACAAACCAATAGTTCAACAACGTAAGAACCTTTCATTTTGTTTTGTGGCTGCACCTAACCTAAGGGTTAGACTACTTACTTACCATGTGAAGAGATTAAGCCAATCATAGTTCACCATTTTGTTAATCTCAAAAATTCGTATTTGCAATGACCTCCAAAAATTCTTATGGCATTATCTACTATGAAAACATAGAGCTTTAGACAACTCCCGGACAACTCACAATCAATTACGAATAACATTTCAATAACTCTGATTCGCGCATGGTTTTCGTCTATGTATTTGTGCAATCGAGCTCTATTCAAAAATACTAAGAGTGACCCCAAAAGGTCTACGGATTTTTAATAACTAATTACGAAAAACCAAACTTTGTAACTCTAAAATTAATAAAAATTAAATTGAATTCCCAAAAATTCGAAATACGAAAAATTTGACTCAACTCAACTTTAAATCATCCTCAAATCAACTCAACTTTAATTCATCCTCAAATGTACAATATATAGTGAATACACATGCGTGGATTAATTACAAATACACATCATTTACTCTTTCAGCCCATGAACCTAATGTAGAAAAGTCAATGAACCTAATGTAGAAGAGTCAATGAACCTATGTAGAAGATTTAATGAGCCTAATTATTCAGTGGACCTAAATAACACTCACCCTCTAATTGCTTTAACAGATTTCTGTGAATGATGGCTCAAGCCACTTTTGTAGGAGAAGAGAGAGGCTTTTAACAGGTTCTTTCAGATCATCCAATTCCAAGTAGAGAGATATATGAGTACCCTTTCCTTTCTGATTTCCCTTAGGATAGAGCAGTAGCTCTGCAACAGCCATCACATGAAGATTAAGTGTACATTTCAAGATTACATGAACATCCTACCTTAATTTAAAACAACGGTTCTCTACACATTGGAGGAAAAATTTAACAAGATATTTACCAACACTTTTAAGAATAATGCAAAAATCGTTATCAACACATTGAAGAAAAAATTTAACAAAAGGTGATTTAGATCTATTTTGATAAGATATAGTAAATGAATTGTCGAGAGTGAAATCTTTTATCATCGGATATACCACTTCAAGCCTTCAGCAGTGAATACTTCTGAGTAGTAGCTCTCAGCATCTGACTTTGAGAAGTTCTCAACCTTACATGCTTGCGCATAACAGCATTCTTGATCATTGATAGACACTCTCCATTTCCTGTTCTTCTTTCTTTACAAACAAAGACATCCGCTCCAAACACAGGTATCATCCAGGAGATATCCGTTGGAAGTATTAATAAAAGCTTTAAGAGGAATAAATCGATCATAAACCGAATAAGGCATCATCCCGTGAAAACATTTTTCCTTTTCTTTCGCATCTAATCAATGCAACATGAAAAATGGTTCAGAAAAATTAAAAGGAATAACACGCTCCGAGAACATGAAAAAAATCAACTCCTCACACATTCACTTATTGAGATAAATTTGAAGATAGAATACCGTGAAGAACAAAGTAGAAGCCCCTTTTCTGTTCAAGCAAAAATAACCTGAAGTTAACAAACACTTCCCAACCAGTCTCAAGTGAATCGGCTTCAGCATTTCCAAGAAGAGAGAGATGTAGTCAGCCACGTTCCTCGCCTTGTTTCCATTCGGGTAGGGCACTAGTTTCCTGTGATCAAACACATATGTAATAAAGCTAATGTATATAGAGCACTGAAAAAAGCTGCTTATCTCCAACTTCTTTCTCAACCTTTTTTCTTTTCCCAAAATTATATGTGTAACTAATGATTTGCACACCAAACTACATCATTAAGAAAAAAATAATAATAATCATTAAGAAAACAACGATGCCTTTGGACATGATCATTAGGGCTTACCATTCATATCCTCCAGCTTCGAAATCTCCCGGCTCATATCTATCCACTGAACGCTTGGTTAGCAACGAAAAACAACTAAATCTTTAGAGTGTAATAATATGGAGGTGAATTTGACAACAATCTCAAAACCCCTGAAACCAAATAGAGGAAACACAGGAAGGCATAGTGATGCAAGCATATATATTAGCATCTATAGATACAGTGTACTCAAATCTGAATGCATCATTGGCCCCTAAAACACAAAATATAGAGACGAAGTAACTAAGTATGTTAATTGCCATTGATAGGATTTTTACCACCTGCAAAAGTAGGGATAAAAACACTTAAAATACTTGCAAGAGTACAAGGTAATCATAGTATAGCTCTATAGCAAAGTCGTTCTCCACAGGGGTTGAATGAATAATTTATGTCAAACCAAATCTTAATTAATTATTTAAAACAAAGTTTAGAAAAGGTTGATTTTATGATTTAAAATAATAAAAACAAATTTAATAGAAATACTTAAATAAACCAGAAAAATAAAATAAACTAAAAGAAAACAATTTTTGAAAATTAAATTGTAAAAGCACTAGGGTTCTGCCATCACCATAACAATCCTACATAATTCTTTCAATTAATTATGAATTACACATGCATATTTTGAAGGTTATGTTTTCCTAATATATGCTTACTTGGACCCCAACATAAAGCGTATATAAAACATGCAACCCATCTGTGGTATTTAGATTTCAAATCTAAACATACCTGACTCATTAAGTTTTGTGAAAACAATCTGAAACACCATGCAACCCTTAAGACGTGGTATTCATCCTAAGTGAACTTGCACATATTAACCACAAGAAGCCTTTGTGTAACGACCCGTCCCGAAAAATTATAGTTTTTATAATTTTAAAATGTGAATTTACGAAAATGTCCTTCGAGACAAATACGTTGACTTTTGTTGACCACCTTGTCGTGTCACGTAAGATTCCTTTTCTTGGCGTATCCTCATAGTACTCGTCACTACAAACACGTGGGCCCAAACAGAACGCAATTTGGAGTTATTAACGAATGAAGTCGAGGACAAAATGGTCATTTGACCATTTTCTGGAAGGCTCTAGATTGTTAGAAGAAAATTTTGATGGTGCCACGTGTGTGCCTAGGATGGAGTGATGAGAGGATAAAGGAGGGAAATGAGAGAAATGGATGGATGAGAAAGAAGATAAATGAGATAAATGAGAGAAATGAGAAGAGGGAAGAGGGCTCGGCCAATCAGAAGAAGGGAGAGGAAAGAAAAATACCAACTAGAGAGGAGAGAAAAGAGGGGAAAGGATAGAGATGGGATGCACCGGATCACCCATTGACCCATTTTCGACCTGCATGACCCGATCCTGAACCGGTTTCTGCAGCCATTTTAGACACCATTTCTGGTTTTTTTTCGACGATTCAGGACTCTCCACCACCTGCAAATAACATCCTGCTCATTGTCCTTCATTTTCCACCCATGGTACAACGAGATTTTGCACCGTTTCATGATGAGTAACAACGACGGTGTCGAAGGTCCTATGGCGGCGATCCGCCATTTCTGAAGGCGATTCCTTTGACCATCACCACAATTTGCCCTCCCTTGAGCCTAGGAACAAACCCCAAACAAGTATGGAGGCGGCAAAGCTTCTGATTCGACGAATCAAGAACACCCAATTCGAGATTCGAGTACGATTTGGGGTATTTCTCGGCCGAATTGGACTTCGGTGTTGTTCCTCTCATTGAGATCTTCATTCCTATAAAATTTGGGAATTTTTGGAGTTGTTCGATTTTCCGGTGAGTCGGGGCGGCGGCGCTTGGGGGGGGAAAGCCGAGATCCCTCCTTAGGTTTCTCGATGTGCCGAATGCGAATCCGCCATCCGTTTTCCCAAATTCCAACGTTTTTGTACAGTTTTATTAAATGGCCTTTAATTGTGTTTAGGTGCATCGGTGGAAGTGATCACATTCTCGATAGTTCGAGCGGCTTCCGAGCAATGGAAAACTTGTGAGTGGACCCCTTCATAACCTATATATTTTCTAAAAATATTAGCCTAGCATGCATTGCATATTTTATAAATGGAGAATGATTTATAATGTGCTTACGAATTTTCATACTTATGATTTATTTAGATTGCTTTTACAGAATAATTATGATTTATTGGATTTATATATTACCAAAGGTTATAAATCATTAGATTTTCGGTTATGAAATTCTATGGATTCACGTATATGTTTATTATGGATTTATGAGACGAGGTTTGAACTTTTGAGCTCTGATGTGTGATGCGAGATTTTGAGATATGTTTTTGGTACTTACCTAGTGGGTTATCATACAGCACATCCGCACACCACAAGTACATATGTCTATGGCCATAGGACACAGATGGTGGAGGAGTGAGATATGATATATGTTATACCCCCAGCTTCACTGCCGAAAGTAGTGTCGGTGTGGATGTATGTTATTTTATACAGCTTCACATCTAGGTGATAGACAGGTTATTCAGCTTCACCTTCGGATGATGGACAGATACTACCTTCGGGCGACTATGATACCCCTAGTTAAGTACATCATGATTACGATTCACAAATATTTTACGAATGTTTTGCACAGCATGCTAGGGTTTTCAGAAAAACCTATTTTGTAGTATTATATGTGTTTTAGGGGAAATCTTAGTGGAAGTCTAGTTAGGATCAGTTGAGGATTGAAGGCGATGATGGTCCTCTGCGACATGCGTTCTTTTGGAATAGCGAGCAGAGGCATACCTGTTGAGTGATTACATAAAACATCGAAGGTTCGTGTAAGGGAAAAATTAAGAAGGCACCAGTTGTAGGCCAAGTTAGCAGATATATGTGGGGTAAATCAAATCAACTTCCTCGGACTTGTTATTTCCCCTGAGGGAATTCGTGTAGACCCTCAAGAAATTTCGCAGTGATTGTTTCACTGATAACATTCTTATCTACTCCCACCTCGATGTCAGTTTAATAAACATCCACAGTCACCTTATTACCAAATTCCTCAAATGTCAACCTTGTTTAGCTTTCATATATTTCTTGGGAGACATGAGTCTAGCAAAAGATATTCTTACTAAACCTAAGGTTATGACAGTTGGGAATCAAAAATCCTCTCGAGTGTTGTGAATTCAGAAATACCGTTTGTCTTGTCAATTTCTATCGACGGTTGCTAGCAATTCCTTGATCATAACCTAAACCCTCATCTTCGGTTAGGAAACAAGTTAGTTTTATTCGAGATGTTGCCTCACCTTACCATTGTTCTTATACTATTCGCAAAAGGCTCTGTTCGAAATTTATAATGTCGAGGACAAAATGGTCATTTGACCAATTAGATAGGAGAGAAATGAGGGGAAATGAGAGAGATGGGATGCACTGAATCACCCATTGACCCGTTTTCGACCAGCATGACCCGATCCTGAATCGGTTCCTGCAGCCATTTTCAATGCAATTTTCGACGATTCAGGATCCTCCACCACTTGCAAACATCATCACGCTCCTTGTCCTTCATTTTCCACCCATGGTACGACGAGATTTGGCCCCGTTTCGTGATGTGTAACGGTGATGGCGCCGAAGGTCCTATGGCGGCGATTCGCCATTTCTAAAGGCAATTCCTTCAACCACCACCACCATTAGCCTTTCCTTGAGTCCAAGAACAAACCCTAAACAAGTTTGGAGGTGGTGGAGCTTCGGATTCGACGAATCAATAACACCCAATTCAAGGGTTTACGGCAGTTCAAGGATGATTTGGGGTATTTCCCGGTCAAATTGGACTTCAGCCCAGGTATGAAAGTTGTTCCTCTCATTGGAATCTTCATTCTTGTAAAATTTGAGAATTTTTGGAGTTGTTCGATTTTCTGGCGAGTCGAGGTGGCCGGACGTCACGTGCGGCGGCGCGTGAGGGAAAACCCGAGATCCCTCCTTAGGTTTCTCAACATACTAAATCAGAATCTGCCTTCTGTTTTTCCAAATTCCAACGTTTACGTAAAGTTTTATTAAACGGCCTTTAATTGTGTTTAGGTGCATCGGTGGAAGTGATCACATTCTCGATAGTTCGAGCGGTTTCCGAGCAATGGAAAACTTGTGAATGGACCCCTTCATAACCTATATATTTTTTTTAAAATATTAGCTAGCATGCATTGCATATTTTATAAATGGAGCATGATTTATAATGTGTTTTACAGATTTTCATACTTATGATTTATTTAGATTGCTTTTACGGAATAATTATGATTTATCGGATTTATATATTACCAAAGGTTATGAATCATTAGATTTTTGGTTATGAAATTCTATGGATTCACGTATATGTTTATTATGGATTTATGAAACGAGGTTTGAACTTTTGAGCTCTGATGTGTGATACGAGATTTTGAGATATGTTTTTGGTACTTACCTAATGGGATATCATATGGCACATCCGCACACCACATGTATAGATGTCTATGGCCATAGGACACAAATGATGGAGGAGTGAGATATGATATATGTTATACCCCCAGCTTCACTGCCAAAAATAGTGTCGGACAGCTTCACTAGCCATGGCTAGTGTTGGTGTGGATGTATGCTATTTTATACAACTTCACCTTCAGGTGTTGGACATGTTATTCAGTTTCACCTTCGGGTGATGGACATGTTATTCAGCTTCACCTTCGGGTGATGGACAGGTACTACCTTCGGGCGACTATGATACCCCTAGTTATGTACATCATGGTTACGATTCACAGATGTTTTATGAATGTTTTGCACGGTATGCTAGGGTTTTCAGAAAAACCTATTATGTAGTATTATATATGTTTTCAAAACAGGGGGTCATTTTTCATAAATAAAATGTTTTGCTATTATTAGTATGGTTAATATAAAATTTGGTCCACTCACCTTTTCGGTTTTTGCACCCCTCAGGGGTCAGGATCAAGGCACATGATCCTGGCATCAGGACTCTACAACATAGGTATACTCGAGTCTTCTCAGTATATGTATCATTTCTTCGTTCGTATCTTTTCCTAGTAATTCTTCCATATTATTTTTAGTAGGTGTATGCTCTGAACACATTCCTGCTTTGGCTTAATCTTGCTAATTACATATTTGTTTGGACCTAAATTTACATCATCAGCCCAAGCAATCAAGGTCGTTGAGTAAGCATAGCTCCCAACCGTCAGATGAAAAAGTGAAGATAATTTTATTATTGTTAAAGGATAATATTATG